TTTAATAGTAACCGTATCTTAATTTGTTCTTGCACTGTATCATATCGTGTATTTCATCTGTATATGTGTAATGTGTATATATATAAATGACTACACTTATACCGCATATTCTGCAACAGACTATAATTAATCACCTTATTATTGTCTCTCCATTTACCATGACCGACTGCACTAATACCCTTTTAACAGTGGAGACCGGTTACAGTATACATGAAGGCTTTTTGTTCAAAACGGAATATGCAGGAAATTATATGTAACAATTAACTGTGTACTAATTACATGTTTGAATGTTATCAGATTTGCGTTCTGAGATAATGTAAGCATCTTCTACAATTAACAATACATGTATATAATAAAATACAAAACTCTCTGCCGGAATTTTTTGTGGAAATCATTCGATCAAGTAAACATGACTGCTTGACAAGACGAATCAACTACTTATACCCGATAAAAGAAACTGCCTTATTTTAGGAACAGTGCTATAACAGGACATTTGAAATTTTTAACAAGCAGATACATTAGAGACAGTGACTAGACTACATGTACGTAATCCGTATCAATCAATGGTGTAAAAAAACTGAAAATCATATCTGTCGGAGACCTACCAAATTACCAAGTTTTATCATTACTATATTTATTACAATGCAAATACTTTAGTGATACATTTTTCAGAGGAGAGGGCATACAAACAAGTATATTGCTTCCATGTGTGAATGCAGGTTGTACTTGGCATCTCAGTTCTCAGTTTCATACCGGTTGTATATCTGAATTTGTATATGGAACCATGCGTACAGCATGACAATTACATGCTATTCGTCAGTCTACAACACACATAACACGGTCAAACAATTTTGGGCACCGCTTTTGCAAGTTATTTAGTGCAATAATGTTTTATTAAAATCTATTTCAATTTGTTTTCACCATTTTCCCTATTGGCAGTCGTTGTTACGTGCGTCACTAGGTAATTAGTACGGCATTGACCTTGTTGATTGTTACTATCCTTTGAGGATTTCTGTGGCCAGTGGCGGACGTAATTCAAACTCCTTCCACACTGTCATCGCACCAAATATATTTGTGTACCGATTACATAACTCTAATGGACAGGGTGGGGTGGTAGTTTACCGGACGACACTGTGTATATTTGGCGGCTCCTTTGTATCTCCTCCAAACATACGTTTATTGAATGACCCCATTAAACGATGATACACATCTTGATGAATATATCAAGGCACTAATTCATCTTTCATAAACATTTGTTTGTCTTTGTGCTTAATATATCCACATATCAACGAACATTTGTAAAACATGTATCCACAAAATAGGTAGATATAATACTAATCTATAGATGTTACACATTTGAAGATACATCTGTGCGGTTTAAAGTCGATTGTGTCACAATATTCACTCACGTTTTCCTCAATCGCATTGAAACAAAATTCCCACTGGTCAGTTCGCCACCGCATGTAATTAAATAATTATTTCGAGATTTCGTTAGAATGTAAGATATTCAGCCAAACGTTATGCAATAAAAGACGAATAGTTTTTTTCATTAAAATACGCGCACGCGTACCTGTATATTTCATACCTACCCCATTAAACGATGATACACATCTTGATGAATATATCAAGGCACTAATTCATCTTTCATAAAAAATTTGTTTGTCTTTGTGCTTAATATATCCACATATCAACGAACATTTGTAAAACATGTATCCACAAAAAAATAAACATTTTCAGGCTAGGTGTTTGCCCACAGCAACACCTGCATAACTGTTTATTCACGCGTGGTGTGGTAGATCGTAATTGACCGACAGCAGGTATTGTAGAATCACTTGTAAATAACGCCGAGACTGTAATTAGATACAACGTCCTAATGAGAAAATGGGATTATCATAAGAAGGCTGTTGTTTTTTTTCTGAACTGTTACCATTTTCATACCCCAAGTGGCAATGCAGTTAAAAGGTGCTTTAGTGTCACAATATTCACTCACGTTTTCCTCAATCGCATTGAAACATAATTCTCCACTGGTCAGTTCGCCACCGCATGTAATTAAATAATTATTTCGAGATTCGTTAGAATGTAAGATATTCAGCCAAACGTTATGCAATAAAAGACGAATAGTTTTTTTCATTAAAAAACGCGCACGCGTACCTGTATATTGCATACCTAGTGTCACGTAATTGCCCAGTGTGATGTATCAACGGGGCATAAAATGATAAATGAAATAGAAACTAACTAAACTTTAATGTTGTGGAAAATAACTCCAATGAATTGGAGTACACGCACATGGATTCGTATGATAAACTGTCAAAACGTTTTGAGAGGTAAGGCCGGGTTCGCTACAAAATGTAAAACAGGTGAAATTTGTAGAACTTCTATAAAGGAAACATCCAATCAAATGCCCTTTTGAAATAGTAATGTAATGATATAATATAAAGTATATTTAACACGCTACAATATACTTTGCACACGGTTAGTTGATGCTTTAAAGGGACTGACGAAAACATGGGCGAAATATTTCAATAATGCCGTAAAATAGTTGAATCATGTGTCATGCTTGTAGACACACCTTTATGTATTTGCGAAACTAAAACTGTTGAGCAAAGGTAAATATTCTCGCCCATGGGCCAATCTTTTTCGTCCAGAGAGAAAAATATCAATAACGCCATAAAATAGTTGAATTAAGTTAAAATTTGTTAAATTATGTGATATGAAACTTCTAAGAACACCTTTATGTATATGCGACACTAAAACATGAGTTTTGAGCAAAGGGAAATATTCTCGCCCATGGGCCAAACCTTTTCTCGCCCATGGGCTAAATATTTCAATAACGCTATAAAATAGCTGAATTAAGTAAAATTGAGTTACATTATGTGCCATTAAAATGGTAAGAACACCCGCATGTATTTGCGAAACAAAAACATAAGTTTTGAGTAAAGGAAAATATTCTCGCCCATGGGCCAAACCTTTTTCTCGCACATGGGCGAAATATTTCAATATCGCTATAAAATCGTTGAATTAAGTTAAAATGAGTTTATTTTTTTTACATTTTGTGTCATGATACTTGAATAAATACATTTAATGTATAATTTGCGAAACAAAAACATGAGTTTTGAGTAAAGGAACATATTCTCGCCCATGGGCCAAACCTTTTTCTCGCCCATGGGCGAAATATTTCATCATCGCTATAAAATAGTTGAATTAAGTTAAAATGAGTTATATTTTGTGTCATGATACTTGAATGAATACATTTAATGTATAATTTGCGAAACAAAAACATGAGTTTTGAGCAAAGGGAAATATTCTCGCCCATGGGCCAAACCTTTTCTCGCCCATGGGCTAAATATTTCAATAACGCTATAAAATAGCTGAATTAAGTAAAATTGAGTTACATTATGTGCCATGAAAATGGTAAGAACACCCGCATGTATTTGCGAAACAAAAACATAAGTTTTGAGTAAAGGAAAATATTCTCGCCCATGGGCCAACCCTTTTATCGCCCATGGGCGAAATATTTCAATATCGCTATAAAATCGTTGAATTAAGTTAAAATGAGTTTAATTTTGTTACATTTTGTGTCATGATACTTGAATAAATACATTTAATGTATAATTTGCGAAACAAAAACATGAGTTTTGAGCAAAGGGAAATATTCTCGCCCATGGGCCAAACCTTTTCTCGCCCATGGGCTAAATATTTCAATAACGCTATAAAATAGCTGAATTAAGTAAAATTGAGCTACATTATGTGCCATGAAAATGGTTAGAACACCCGCATGTATTTGCAAAACAAAAACATAAGTTTTGAGTAAAGGAAAATATTCTCGCCCATGGGCCAACCCTTTTATCGCCCATGGGCGAAATATTTCAATATCGCTATAAAATCGTTGAGTTAAGTTAAAATGAGTTTAATTTTGTTACATTTTGTGTCATGATACTTGAATAAATACATTTAATGTATAATTTGCGAAACAAAAACATGAGTTTTGAGCAAAGGGAAATATTCTCGCCCATGGTCTAAATATTTCAATAACGCTATAAAATAGCTGAATTAAGAAAAATTGAGTTACATTATGTGCCATGAAAATGGTAAGAACACCCGCATGTATTTGCGAAACAAAAACATAAGTTTTGAGTAAAGGAAAATATTCTCGCCCATGGGCCAAACCATTTTCTCGCCCATTGGCGAAATATTTCAATATCGCTATAAAATCGTTGAATTAAGTTAAAATGAGTTTAATTTTGTTACATTTTGTGTCATGATACTTGAATAAATACATTTAATGTATAATTTGCGAAACAAAAACATGAGTTTTGAGTAAAGGAACATATTCTCGCCCATGGGCCAAACCTTTTTCTCGCCCATCGGCGAAATATTTTAATATCGCTATAAAATAGTTGAATTAAGTTAAAATGAGTTATATTTTGTGTCATGATACTTGAATGAATACATTTAATGTATTTGCGAAACAAAAACATGAGTTTTAAGTAAAGGAATACATTCTCGCCCATGGGCCAAACTTCGCCCATTGGCAGGCCCATGGGCGACATAGTGTAAATATTAAGTTTTTAAACATTTTGGGTTTCCAGAATTAAAATGGGACGTGTTATATGTATTTACATATGTATGGATTTCCCAAGATATTGGAGATCCACAGTTATTTTTATTTTCATTTAACCAGAGACTGAAGGTTTTATATTATAAGCAGTGGCATCAGAATATTTCTGTATCACTTTATCTTAGTGGTAACAGCAAAGTGGAACTATTGTTAAAAACTGAAAAATCAAAACTGACTTAGAGGCGACTAACGGGATCGGGGTGGTCAGGCTCGCTGACATGGCTGAAGCATGTCATCGATCCTCAATGGGTGGATCGATGTTCATGATATCAATCAGTGAGTTATCTGGCCCAGACTCGATTGTTAAAGGATCGCCGTCGTATAGCTGGAATATTGCCGAGTGTGGCATTACACAACAAACAAACAAACAAACAAAGCTCACCTGGGCATGTGAATGAATTGCACTTGTAAGTGTAATCGGAAGTGTCACTTCCTGGACAGGTGGCTCCGCCGTGGGCAGGTTCTGGGTTGTCACAAGTTCTCTCCCTTGTCCGCGTGATGGTCCCATAGCCACATGTTTTAGAGCAGGTGCTTGAACGCCACACCCAGTAGCTCCAGCCACCGGCAACAGGATCGGCTGAAGAACAGCATACGTCTTTTGTGCAAGCATGCATGTATAAACGCACGCACGTACGCACGCACGCGCACTAACTCACACCCACGCACGCACGTACATGCACACACCACACAACACAAACACATACACACCAGAAACAATATCACACCAGAAATGGGCCTCACATATTGTACCCATGTGTTGAATCGAACCTGGGCCTTCGGCGTGACGAACGAGCTTTAACCAATAGGTCTTCGAAGACCCGGGCTCGATTCCCAACATGGGTACAATGTGTGAAGGCCATTTCTGATGTCCCCGCCGATATTGCTGGAATATTGCTAAAAGCGGCGTCAACCAATACCCATTCATTCGTTGCTCAAAATTCAAACCATAAAGATGACGTCACGCTATTGCTGTTGATTCATTGGCTTTTTTTCTGATCATGAAAACTGAAGGTCATAATACAAAATTATAGAGATAAGATTCATCACATGGTTTAAGACGAAAAAAAACCGCGAATCTGTTCAGGGAGAAGAATCAACGAATTTATATATATTTCTCCGACTTAAACCATGCTGTGGCTGATACAAACTTCCTCTTTGGGACTCGTTAATTCTACTTCCGGAAACAACAGACTTTAGTCGGGGGCAGGGGTGGCCACGTCGTCTAAGGCGCCGCGATATATTGTTAAAAGCGGCGTTAAACCCAACTCACTCACTCACTCACTCTTTGGGACTCGTTGATTCTACTTCCGGAATCAAGAGACTTTAGTGATGTTCCCATTACACAACAATTGAGACTCGGTTGTTTCCAAGTCGACATTATAAAGCTGGAATGCTGAAATAATATGCGGCGGTAAACAACACTCACTCACTCCCTCACCTGCACATTCATGGCCGTTGCATGCTTCCGTGACGGTCTCCGACTGGTCGCCTTCGCATGGTTCACCACCGAAAGCAGGTTCCGGGTCAGTGCATGACCTTTGAGACACGACTTGCCGTTGACCTCCCCCACAAGACTGAGTGCATCTACTGACTGACGTAACTGTCCAGTTTGTCCACCCACCGTCCACTGCAAGACAACATCAATGTCATGAACAAGACTTTTTTGGCCACGGAATCGACAAGATGACAACATATTTCTGTTTATTAAATGTAGTCTCGATTATCCGACAAAATAAATCTCATTGTCTGTCTGTTTGATGTTTAACGCCGCACTCAGCAATATTTCAGCTATATGAGGGCGGTCTGTATATAATCGAGTCTGGACAATCCAGTGATTGACATTATGAGCATCGATCCACGCAATTGGGATACAATGACATGCATCAACCAAGTCAGCGAGCCTGACCACCCGATCCCATTAGTCGCATCTTACGACAAGCACACTCGCCTTTTATGGCAAGCATTGTTGCTGAAGACATATTCTACCCCGGATCTTCACGGGTCCAGATCTTATTTGGCGTAAAAGGCAAAACAACGGTGAAGCTAATCGCGTTACGGGTCACGTCAGAACGACCTTTCATCTGACCAATCAAAGCACCGCTTACCAGATCATGAAAGTGACGGTCGGAATGTGTTGTCTAATCATGCAACCTCGAAAACGTTAACACAGTTACGACCCGTACGACTGATTCCGTCAAAATTATCGTCTATCTCTCGCTTTCGTTGGAGAATCATTTGAACGGAGTAGGCGTTGCACAGTACGTGGGAAGCACTGCCATACAATCTCAACCATATATTAGCCATTCCGGAATGTTCGTTTGTTCAGTTTTCAAAATTCTAATCGAGAACTGTTTCAACATAGTTTTCAAGCGTAGTCTGAAATGGAAGTCACCGGGTTGAAACGAGTGCCAAAAATCTCGAGAAAGCTGCTTTCTAATTGGCTGATATCGACTTCTTGTTATTTATTCATTTCAGTGGACGGTCAAAGTTCACGAAAGCTCGTTCTGTTCAGCGGCAGCGAGAGCTCAGATCTGATTTAAATGAGATTGAATCGAGGCGCCACTCGTTTGACAATGTGTGATAATTTTCAACCAATATGTTAGCTTGTCGAAATGGGCCCTATCCCACCCCGTCATTTTGCAACAGTTTCGTTCAGTTCTGTGCTTTACCGAGCTCAGATCAGAAGTCACCTAGTGACTGGCATCGCAACTCGCCGTGGGGTACCATCATCCGCTCCTTGTGATCTATATTTCGTATTCGCGCCGATCATGAATCACACTTGGTAACACTCATTGGTAACAGTAAAGGAGTACAAATTTGTCACTTTCTGCTTTTCCCAGTCAAGCTGGCACCCGATAGATGTTTGTGTGTTTGTTTGTTTATTGTTGTTTAACACTGCACTCAGCATAAGTCCATTATATGACAGCGGTCTATAAATAATCGAGACTGGAAGACAATCCAGTGATTGACATCATGAGCATTGATCCTCGCAATTGGGATACGATGACATGCATCAACCAAGTCAGCGAGCCTGACCACCCGATCCCGTTAGTCGCCTCTTACGACAAGCATAGTCACCTTTTACGGCAAGCATGGGTTGCTGGATATCAATTGTAACCCGGATCTTCACGGATATGCAATAGATGTAACGGCGCACAGGTCGCAGCAGTGTTAAATCTCTCTCATTCACTTCGCTCGAGGGTTTTAATTCATGTCAAACACACCTAAGCTTGCATTGGAGGTATATGTGCAATCTCAACCATATATACTCAACAACAAAAGTTCCTGTGACACCAATATGTTTGTGTATTTTTCAAACAAGTAAAGTTGGGTTTTCAATATGGTAATACACCACAACGCATGTAACGACGCACAGGTCAACGCAGTCTTAAATCTCTCTCATTCACTTCGCTCGAGGGTTTAAACGTAGATTTGTCAGTTTTAGGGACTAATTTATAAAGGGCATTAAAGCATTAAAATACCCCTCTGTAAAATCTAGAGTTGGTTGTTCATATATATTTGCTGTCGACCGGGCGTCCGTATCGTAAATATGGGACCTCTTGGTGCACTAATTAATATAAACCAAAAAGCACAAAATATCTTTCCCTAGTTCCAAGAAAATTTCACTGTATTATCGCACAACATTTATTACACAATTTTCGCTATTCCTTCGCAAAAAAAAAATAGTTGATCGCGTCACTTTCGAGCCACTTTAGTAGTCTTTGACCCTATATTCTCATAATGTAAGGAAAATACACCATGGTCGCATTGTGATGGTTATTTGTCCAATAATGTGTTTTTTTACAAAAGGAGTATATTAGTAAATACAATGAATATCCATGTCAAACACACCTAAACTTGCATTGGAGGAATATGTCCATATACGCCTGCAGCACGCCAAGCGAATGTTAGACCTTTATTCAAGCCGACACACTGGCAACATGTCAGCAGGGACATGTATTTAGAGAAGTATTCACATTCAACGCCATCTGTCAAGATGCCAGTTAGTTAATACATCGGTTAACCAGTGCGTCGCAGTGATATATCGATTGCGGTATTATATTTCTTAATTCCCTAATTTGCAATGCCTTTATTTCTCTCTTGTGTCATCAATAATTTATGGTGTGTTCATGTCAATATAACTACCCTGGGATCAGCTGAATATTCGATTTTCGTGAAATCGATATTATCATGGTTCTTTATGACATGTTGCAGTGTCATACTTGCCTCATTATAACGCGACAGCCACACCTTGATTTAAGGTGGCAGTTACCCCAAAGTCGTTGAATAATTTCCTAAGGAAAGATGTTGTCCCATATCATTGAATAATTATTTGAGAAACGAGGTTATTCCCCATTCAATGAATAATTATTTCAGACACGTGTTTATCACTCTAGTCGTAGAATATTGACATGAGAGGTTATCCCCCCTTTCAGAGAATAATTACTTATTGTGCGAGGTTATAACCTTTGCATAGAATAATTACTTATAGTCCGAGGATATCCCCCTTCTATACAATAATTACCTATTGTGCGAGGTTATCCCCCCTTTCAAAGAATAATTACTTATTGTGCGAGGTTATAACCCTTTCATAGAATAATTACTTATAGTGCGAGGTTATCCCCCCTTCATTACAATAATTACCTAATGTGCGAGGTTATAACCCTTTCATACAATAATTACTTATTGTGCGAGGTTATTCCCCCTTCCATACAATAATAACATATTGTGCGAGGTTATAACCCTTTCATACAATAATTAGTTATAGTGCGAGGTGATCCCCCGTTTCATAGAATAATTACTTATCGAACGAGGTTATCCCCCTTTCATAGAATAATTACTCATTGTGCGAGGTTTTCCCCTTTTCATAGAATGATTTTTTATAGTGCGAGGTTATCCGCCCTGCCATAGAATGATTATTTATTGTCAGAGGTTATTCCCACTTTCATAGAATAATTACTTATAGTGCGAGGTTATCCCCCCTTCCATAGAATAATTACTTATTGTGCGAGGTTATCCCCCCTTTCAAAGAATAATTACTTATAGTGCGAGGTTATTCCCCCTTCAATACAAAAGTTACATATTATGCGAGGTTATCCCCCTTTCATTGAATAATTACTTATTGTGCACGGTTATCCCCCTTCCATACAATAATTAAATATTGTGCGAGGTTATCCCCCTTTCATAGAATTATTACTTATAGTGCGAGGTAGCCCCCTTCATAGAATAATTACTTATAGTGCGATTACTTATAGTTATCCCTCAAGACATAGAATACTGATTTGAGGTGCGAGGTTATCCACTTAAATCATACAATTTAAGGTGAGTGAGTGAGTGAGTGAGTGAGTTCGGCTTAACGCGGCTTATCCACCTAAAGTGAGACACAATTTAAACGTATTACCACTTTGGGGAATCCACGGGTATGACGCTGGGCATACCAAGGATCGTAATCAGTACGAGTCTGCGATTTGATCATCATCATCATCATCATCATCATCATCATCATCATAATAACAACAACAATAATAATAACAATCCTTTTTGATAAATCCAATGAAATCATTTATATCTTTGAATTTTCTGTCCCTTTTGACACTAATGTGATTGACAAGATTCAGGAAAGACATGGCAAATATGCGGACCTCGCTTTCGAAATGTCACGCTTGCATCCCAAGTACCAAGTTGTCCGACTCCCCATTGTTCTCGGTGCCTAAGGTTTGGTATCTCCCAATCTGTTGACTGACATTGGGAGAGTACCCAGGTTTGCTACCAGGAATACAGCCCTTCTGACAATCTGGGTAATGCAGAATGCTGCAGTGTTGGGAAGTCTTCACATTCTCCGGAAAGTTCTGGTTGGGTTTGACAAGGCAGCGCTTCCTGGGAGAAGTCCCATTCGCTGTCTGGGCTGCGTGTAGAGGGGGCAAGGACCCTGAGCTGATGATGAGCCTAACCAGCCTGACTGTGCCAGGATCCCCTAAACCCTCTTTGCTGCATTTTTTATTTTAATCTTTAAATAATAATAATAATGATAATAACTCTTTTTACAAAATAAACTTTATGCAATAACATACCTGGACAGTCGAGTGTGTTGCACGTCAGTTCATCAGTTAGAGTTGCGTCCCCTTGACAGAACTCGCCACCGCCAGAGGGCGCTGGGTTTGTACATTCCCGCTGACGAGTCCGTATTTTAGTCCCACCCCCACAGGTGTCGGAACATCCATCTATGTCCGCGTCCGCCCATGTGCTCCATCCTCCGTCGACTGAAGAGAGGGTGCGACAATAAGTGCCTTTTTGGTTTGGATTGTTGTTTTACGCCGCACACAGCAATATTCCAGCTATATGACGGCGGTCTGTAAAATAATCGAGTCTGGACCAGACAATCCAGTGCTTGACATTATGAGCATCGATCCACGCAATTGGGTTCAATGACATGCATCAACCAAGTCTGCCAGCCTGACCACCCGATCCCGTTAGTCGCCTCTTACGACAAGCATAGTCGCCTTTTAACGGCAAGCATGGGTTTTTGAAGACCTGTTCTACCCCAGATCGACCTACCTGGACATGCCTCGTTGTTACAGCTCAGTGTATCCTGCCCCTTCTCCAGGAATGAACGAGTACCATCACTGAAATGGAATCATTTTTAAAAACATACGTTATTGTGTTGATGGTGTAACCTTTTCATAAACTTGCTCAAATGTCAACCTGTAGATGCGAAATGCCGATACCTGATGACAAAACATGTGTCTTCCATGCGAAAAGGGGCGATGGGGTGGCCTAGTGGTTACAGCGTCCGTTAGTCACGCCGAAAGTCCGTGTTCGATTCTCTTCATGGGTGCAATGTGTGAAGCCATTTCGGGTATCACCCGTCGTGATTCTGCTAAAAGTGTCGTAAAACCATACTCGGCCGTACTTACCCCTTTGGTTATAGGGGAGACGGGTGGCCCAGTCGTCTGAGGCGCCGCAATTCGCTGTTCGAATCCCAGTTCGCCCCAATTATGTTTCTAGGTTTCAGCACCGAGCTCGTGGATTTCACCCAAGTGGTAAACGTCTAACACCTAACACCTACATCACTTGGGGCTTTCCTTCCACAGTAAGCCACCTTCCCGAGGCAAGAGAGTTAACTGACTTTAAAAGTCCAGTTTCCACCCTTGCCGAATTAGGCTGGAATTACTGGGCTCGATCGTAGCGCCACCAGTGGCTGTTACCAGTTATGTCCCTTCTAAGCCTCTCCTATGGACCAATCATATTCCACCTCTCGTATTACTTGCGTTTGCTTCAAACAAAATGACGGCGCCGATTCAAGACGATCTGATCGATAATCAAGATCTATACTGTGATACATCGCGAAGTGCATCAAATCAAGTGAACACCTTGATTAAAAACATGAAAAGATTTGGAAAATATCTGCTGACAGCGAGTTGGCGGTGCAGATGCTTTGCAAATCCTGCAATCGATCAGTTTACGAACCGGATTTCGATTTCGTTGCGCGATTGTAATTTGATTGGACTAAACATAGACTCGTTAGTCCAGCCAAACTGTAACTCCATAATACCAGCCTAATTCGGAAAGGGTGGAAACTGGACTTTTATAGTCAGTAAACCGTCTTGCCTCGGGAAGATGACATTAAGCTGACCCGCCGTGATATGACTTTAATCCTGTTAAAAGTGGCGTTAAACACAACTCACCCACTCACACACCTTTGGTCATGACCTCTTAACCTTTGTAAACTAATTTGCGAATTGTTTTGGTGCCACCAGTGCTCAGCTGCAATGTTTCCGCAACATGCATCCACTGTTTCACTATATGTAATGATGTATTAGATAACATTGACCGAATAAAAAAGGTGAGGTGAGGTAGAAAGGGGTTTAACGTTGCGTTCATGATTATTAAACTTATATAGCGACATGCATGTGTGTGTGTGTGTGTGTGTGTGTGTGTGTGTGTGTGTGTGTGTGTGTGTGTGTGTGTGTGTGTGTGTCTGTCTGCTTGTACTAGTCCGGACTAATATCGAGTTTACTGTCCTTGTTTTAGCCCCTTAATGCCGGGAGCCAAGCAGGGCAACAACATGTACCATCTTTTAACGTATTTTGGTATGTCGGGGATCGAACACCGGACCTTTCACTCCCTGGGTGGACGCCCTACCACTAGACTACTGAGACGGTCAATATTGAAAGGGAGCTAATGCACAGATGTTATATTTTTGTTAATGAACACAAACAAATCAACTTCCGCTATATACAGATCATTTACCTTTGCAAACATGATTGCCCAGTGCCGACAGGCACTGGACTGTCACAGTAGCGTTCCTTCTTATTGACCTGTGACCCGCCCCCGCACGTGACGGAGCAGTCGCCCTCTTCAACCACCGCCCAGTCTGTCCATCCGCCATCGGTATTAGCTGGAAAAAAAGTTATTAATCAAAAGGAAATTTCGTTTATCCATACATTTTAAATCGTCCGGATAATCGAGTGTCCGGAAAAGGAATTATGGGTAGTGGGTTGTTTTCCTTTCGAAACGTAACAAGCTTCACACAGCCCTATATAGTATCGCTGCCACTTGTCAGAGCTCCATGCTGCGTTAGGCGGCCTACAACCATGAACTGAGGTTAAATTCACAACCGCCCGATAAGTTTACAAACAAGTGATTCTTCCCCTAATTTTAACGTGGTCATCTCCCAGAGGCAAGAGAGATAACTGACTATACTGGGCGAATTACTGGGCTCGATTGTAGCCCCACCAGTTGCTATTACCAGTTGCGTCCCTTATAAGCCTCTCCTATGGACCAATCAGATTCCACCCCTCCTATCACTTGCATTTGCTTCAAACAAAATGGCGGCGACCAGTAATGACGATCCGATCGATAATCAAGATCTATATTGTGTTAAAACGGGTCTTACATCGCGAAATGCATCAAATCTCGTGAGCACCTTGATTAAAAACACGAAAAGATTTGGAAAATATCTGCTGACAACGCGCTGGCGGTGCACTTACTTTGCAAATCCTGTAATCGGCCGAAATTTGCACGACAGTTTACGCACCGGATTTCGATTTGTTGCGCGATTTTGATTGGACTATTCATAGACTCGTTAGTCCATCCAAAACTCCATAATACCAGCCTAGTTCGGCAAGAGTGGAAACTGGACTTTTATAGTCTTTTTATGTATAATGTTGTCATATACTGAGATACAGGATCGTATACCCGTAAAGTTGTTTGGTTGGTTGGTTTGTTGTTTAACGCCGCACTCAGCAATATTCAAGCTATATGACGGCGGTCTGTAAATAATCGAGTCTGGACCAGACAATCCGGTGATAAATATCATGAGCATCGATCCACGCAATTGGGATCGATGACATGCATCAACCAAGTCAGCGAGCCTGACCACCCGATCCCGTTAGTCGCCTTTTACGACAAGCATAGTCACCTTTTACGGCAAGCATGGGTTGCTGAAGACCTATTCTACCCCGGAATCTTAACGGGTCGTATACCCGTAAAGATTCGGGTTAGAATTGATCTTCAGCAGCCAAGGCTTGTCGTAAGTTGTTACTCTGGTTGTAAGAGGCGATCCACCATTTGACGCTGAACCACAAAACAAACAAAGTATACTGTACGTACGTGTGCAGGCCTGGGGATTACATGCCTCTTCATCTACCTCCTTCACATCACCAGAGCAATCTGTACCGTTAAACCTTGGTTTCGGCTTGTTACATTTCCGTCTTGAGGTGACAAACCGGGTACCTCCTCCGCACGAGCGAGTGCACGTGCCGATAGTGTTCACCACCCACGGAGACCATCCGCCATTCACTGAAAATATACGAAAAGTCAAGGTGAGGTGAGGTGAGGTGAGGTGAGGTGAGGTGAGGTGAGATTGGGTTTAACGTCGCGTCCAAGATTATTGCACTTATATAGCGACATGCATGCCCGTGTATGTGTGTGTGTGGCTGCTTGTACTAGTCCGGACGGATGCCGATTTATAGTGCTAGCTCACTGAGATACCATGCCGCAGTTTAACATGAATACCCCACTCAGACACAGTATACTGACTCCAAGCCGACCAGTCCTTGTTTTAGCCCCTTAATGCCGAGCGCCAGACAGGGTAACAACAAGTACAATCTTTTAACGTCTTTTTGTACGACGCGGCCGGGAAAAGTCAAGTGAAAGTGGCATGGTAACATACAACACACAATTCTATATGACAGGTTTGAGTCGAAAATACTCAATTCTTATCACGAGGCGACACTATCGATCAACGAGTGAGTTAGGGAGTGTTTGAGTTGGGTTTGCCGCCGCTTTGACAGTATTTCAGTTATATCACGGCTTGACGGGTAATTTTGGAGGAAAATGGAACTTGACCACTACGGGAAAATCCAGAGGCGCGGGTATATTGCTCACATGCAAAACCTTAGATTTTGGTACCCACGATGATTAGATCCTAGCACGACTAAGGGAGGAAACTCAAGAGTCCCTATATGATCATATCATAGTGTACTCGTCTGTTGCCGAGGACCTAGGTGTACTATAGTGTACTCAGCACATTGGTATGTATTGCAGGACCAAGGTGTACTCACCTGGACATCGATGTGTATTGCAGGTGTACGTTTCCGTTGTAGAGAGGGGCCCGGAGCAGGGTAGTCCGCCATTGTATGGGCTTGGATCAGTGCACGTTCTGTTTTTAATCACTGTCAGTATACCGCCCCCGCATTCTACTGGACAAGTCCCTTCGTCCGTCACTGTCCAGTTGGTGAAACCCCCGTCCACCTTAACTGTGAAGATCATATGACACCAAGATATTAATAATGAGAGTGTTGTACAACAAGGGTACATTCAATCTTAACAGTATGAGTGAGTGAGATTGGTTTAACGCCGCTTTGAACAGTATTCCAGGTACATGACGACGTGAATGGTTAATGTGGGTGGAAAGCCGGAAGTGATGCAGGTCACAGAGATTTACCACTACGATTTTTCGGTTGGTTGGTTTGTTGTTTAACGCCGCACTCAGCAATATTCCAGCTATATGACGGCGGTCTGTAAATAATCGAGTCTGGACCAGACAATCCAGTGATTGATATCATGAGCATCGATCCACGCAATTGGGATCGATAAAATGCATCAACGATGTCAGCGAGCCTGACCACCCGATCCCGTTAGTCGCCTTTTACGACAAGCATAGTCGCCTTTTACGGCAAGCATGGGTTGCTGAAGACCTATTCTACCCCGGAATCTTCACTGGTAAATAATGGGAGGAGATTCGTCCCTTACGGTTTTATGACTTTTCATGAGATGTACAGTATAAACCAATAAACGCCATAAACGAATGACAGCTTCATCGAATGGAAACGGGTGAATTACAGAAGCAGGCCTACGCAAACACTCCGCAGCATCAACGATTAAAAAATAATTGCGAAGTTCTGAGAGTGGACATACTCTGTTAGGCAAGATGAGCCGTGGCTGGGGAATGTAAATATTTTCACAATCAATGGTTTTCTGTAAGGGGGCATAATATTAGGAGTCCTCTTGAGCTGTCATTTTGGGACCGAGCATTTGATAATCTGATATCCGGGGTAGCTGGGATAACATCGAAAATCGAAATTGCTTGAAAAATATAATGATCCTTCATACTGTTAAAAAGCAATTTACCTTGCCTGGCACAAACATACATTATTGCAAACAATGTTATTTAGACAAATATCTGGTTTCATACAAAATCTCATACACGAAGCCTACTTCATTACAGGCTCCGTGTTTTATTGAACTTCGGGACAAGCACATATGGACATGTCTTTCACAGAAGCTGTTTACAAAACAGTCTACCTTCCGCTATTTCACAAATGTTTAAATGGAGAAAAAAAATATACTCATTCATAATATCCGTCTTCATTCATATCGTTTTATTTGTCATCGTTTTTTTTATTAAGTTTCTTATGTAATGAGTTATTTTTAATTCCGTCCCTTTCATTTACAGTAAACTACGGTTATAACGAACACGCTTATAACGAACTGACGGATATAACGAACTTACTTTTTAGTCCCGACTATTTGCTGTAGTTATGCTGTATATATGCTTATAACGAACTACGGTTATAACGAACTAAAAATAGTAGTCCCTTTGAGTTCGTTATAACCGTAGTTTACTGACGTCGGTCTGTAAATAATATAATCGAGTCTGGACCAGACAATCCCGTGATCGACATCATGAGCAAACAAACAAAGTTAATCAATCAATTAATTCAATCATTTACGTGAATGCTTGAATTAAATGATTGATTAACTTTGTTTGTTTGTTGTTTAACGCCGCACTCAGAAATATTCCAGCTGTATGACGTCGGTCTGTAAATAATATAATCGAGTCTGGACCAGACAATCCCATGATCGACATCATGAGCATCGATCCACGTTATTGGGATCGATGACATGCATCAACCAAGTCAGCGAGCCTGACCACCTGATCACGTTAGTCGCCTCTTTCGACAAGCATAGTCGCCTTTTACGACAAGCATGGGTTGCTGAAGACCTATTCTTCCCCGGATCTTCACGGGTCTAACTGATTGTTTAATGTTGTGTTAAAATATAGAATCGGCGGGTGATTATGACATAATTACCTAATAATCAAAAACGTAAACATTGTATGTGACCCAATAAATAGAACAAGTATTGAGACTACAACCAACAGCACAAGGATGTTAGCACAATTTCAAACTATTTCAACAAGACAATACAATTATATATGCATTGTATACTCACACGCAAAAGAAACGCAAGTCGAGTACGCAGTATACATGTTATTTATTTTTAACAGTAAAGACAAGAAATACTAATAGGGGAAGATTGACAAAAATTTGACTGAAGACAGTGTAATGGATTAAAAGGCAGATGACATAATGTTTTTTTTTCAAATGTTAAGGGCTTACACAGTTTCGGGTCAATACCCAAAATGTCAGTCAATACCTGGTATGACCACCATTAGCATTGATCACTGCCACACATCTCCTGTACATTGAGATGATCAGACGATTTGTGAAGGCCCTAGGGATCCTCCTGCACACATCCAGAGTAGCTGTGCGTAGTTTATCGGCAGTTGTAGGGACTTGGCGCACATTGTGCAGACGCCTTTGAACCTCATCCCACAAGTGTTCGATGGGGTTCAGATCAGGGCTGAGGACTAGCTACGGTAGAACACGGATGTTGTGTTGTTGCAGAAAGGCCATGGTAGCTCTGGCAAGATGGGGAGGAGCGTTGTCCTGCTGGAAAATGTGTTGTTGATGTTGTGCAAAAGAATTGAACAACGTAGGGTCTAATCACTTGGTCGATATACCGCTGAGCAGTGACGCCGTGTCCCCGACCTTGACCAACATTCAGAAAGCACATGGGTCCAAGTCTCCCATTGAGTCCAATCCCTGCCCACAGTGTTCCGGCTAATGTGTCGATTATGTGTTCCTATTGTCTGTCGAGCACTTTCACTTGCAGTTAGGAACGGATGTCGCTGGTGTTGACGGGTAATCTGCCGATCTTGTCGGGGTGTGGTGACCCTAGGACGACCGCTCCGAGGAAGGTCATCTGTGGTCTGTGTAGCATTGTATCAATGCAGGAGACGGTAAGTTGTGTTTATGTTAACGTTGAAATGACAGGCAACATCTTGGACAGACTCTCCAGCTTCCAAACGTCCGATAGCCTGGTTTATAATCCAAAACTGGCTCCCACAGGAGATATCGCTTGGGTGAGATCAAGCGATATCTACATTGTAGATATCGCAGCTATGAAATTGCATCACAATGCTTTGCAGGCCATTGTGACGTCATTGTTACAATGACGTCACAATCAAATGACATCACTAATGGCTCTGCTACTGAAGCTGTTTGCAGTACTTTTTACACTGAAGACACTGCTAATTACTGTCTACAAACTGAAAAAGTTGGAAGAATGATGTTGGATGATAAATAAAATCTCACCCGAGTGTCTTTAGATATCAAATATATCAACACTCGTTGATAAAACTGGCAAAAATCCTCGGCAACCCTCGGAATTTATCCACTCGTGTTGATATATTTGATATCCAAAGACACTCGGGTGAGATTCTCTATTTCTCTGAATTTGACTTAGACGTGGCATTGTGGACCAAGGGGTGGTAGGTCCAAGAATCGGCCACAGTTTTATACCAACTACAGTTCGTGACAGTTCGTGCATTTTCGATTTCGCGAGAAATGGGTGCATGATACCCACATATTCATTGAAATGGTGCGTTTTGGCGATTCGTTTTTTATGTTGCGTTTTTACTCGGGGCTTCCAAAATGCAACCAAAGCTATTGATAACACCATTAGGCTTCACTACATGCTAAAACTCGTATCAATATATGGTTCCGTGTTTGTTACCTATTTGCCTAAAACTACTTGCGTTTCTTTTGCGTGTGAGTATATTTTGCCACACAGTCCTTATATAGGAAATTACCTGTTACAGTGGATATAAGCTGTTACATATTTGGAAAGTATTCCTTTTCTACGAACTTTGGCTGTCAGGTAGGGACCGATCATTTAATACCTTGATATTCGGGGTGGCTGCTATTTTATCGAAAATCGAAATTGCTTGAAAAATTTAATGCTGCTTTACACTATTGAAAAGCAATTATTTCGCCGGGCATAAAATATACATTGTTGCAAGATGCTTTTGAATTTCATACAATTTCAACAATTTGTTCGTTTCAGACAAATCAAAAATATTTATTGTACTTAAACCACACAGTCGTTATATAGAACGACATCTCAATATAGTCGACTTCGCCATACAAGGTAAAGGATCTTTTGTTAGCAATTCTTTTGTACGACCCAAAGCGTGGTACATGAAACATGTGATCTATTTTGTGTAGCGTCCACTCGATACGGGAATATAATAAGTGGGAATCTCAATTCAATATTTATTTATGAAACTGGTATTATTATCTATCGAAAATATTCATTACGTAAGATCCCGTTTAGAAAAGAAATATCGCAGATAACGTTTAAACTTACTCGTCCTAAATTGACATAGTCCTCTAAATATTAGCTCGTCGTTTAAATAAAAGCCTTAATTAGCTAACTCGGCTGGTATATAAACACGTTGATGAGGTATCTCGGCTGTTAGGTAAACAACTGACTGGAACCATGTGTGTTTTGTTCAAATCATATATATACAACCTCAAGTTTGACATCGTTCAAGCCTGAATCTAAAACTGGAAGTGAGTGAGTGAGTGAGTGAGTGAGTGAGTGAGTGAGTGAGTGAGTGAGTGAGTGAGTGTTGGTGGGTGGGTGGTTGAGTGGTCAGTGAGTGGGTGGGTATGATTGATTGATTGGCTGGGTGAGTGAGTGAGTGAGTGAGTGAGTGAGTGAGTGAGTGAGTGAGTGAGTGAGTGAGTGAGTGAGTGAGTGAGTGAGTGAGTGAGTGAGTGAGTGAGTGAGTGAGTGAGTGAGTGAGTGAGGGTTTAATGGATTTCTGTAACCGACCCCTAGTGGGCGTATTACTACATTAAAACTGATCTTATTTATCTCTATCTTATAGTGTACCGTTACTTCCTTTCAGCCTCATCTTTTTTGATAAATTGGTGATTAGTTTGGTAAACAATAAATGTCTAGTAGTGAGTGAATATGGCGGTCTGTACATAATCGTATCCAGTGATTGACATGAAGAGCTTTGATCTATGCAACTGGGATACGATGACACGAATCAACCAAGTCAGCGAGCCTCACAGCCCGATCCCGTTAGTCGGCTCTTACGACAAGCATGGGTTGCTGAAGACCTATTCTACCCCGGATCTTCACTGGTGTGCTGCGCGAGGTCAACGTAGGTAGAGGACCAAATGTTGTTTGTTGCTACTTATCTTTCAATACTTTATTCATCACGATAAATGAGTGAGTGAGTGAGTATGGTTTTACTCCGCTTTTAGCAATATTCTAGCAATATTACGGCGGGGGACACCAGAAATTGGCTAAGTTATGAAGGGAGAGACCTGCTACAAAATACTTAATTATTTTTTTCAATTTTATGTGCCAGTGTAAAGTTTCCGGACTCGTTTCATTTTACACAGATGAACCTACAGCGATATACGTACATGTAAGTAGACATTAGTGAGCTAATATGAATGTGTTACAGACTGTGCTCTTTAGAATGTGAAGTTTCCGGACTCGTGGGGTTTCACTGTGCACAGAGGAGCGTACAACGACATACGTACATGCTGGCAGACATATATGTGCTGATATGAATGTGTTACGGGCTGTGCTCTATTGAATGTGAGGTTTCCGGACTCGAGAGATTTCCGGAATCGTGGGGTTTCACTGTACACAGATGAGCGTACAACGACAAACGTACATGCGGGTAGGCATGAGTGTGCTAATATGAATGTGTAATGGGCTGTGCTCTTTGGAATGTGAGGTTTCCGGACTCGAGAGATTTCCGGAATCGCGGGGTTTCACTGTCCACAGAGGAGCGTACAACGACATACGTACATGCTGGTAGACATATGTGTGCTAATATATGTAACGGGCTGTGCTCTATTGAATTTGAGCTTTCCGGAATCGAGAGGTTTCCGGACTCGTGGGGTTTCACTGTACACAGATGAGCGTACAACGACAAACGTACAGGCGGGTAGACATATGTGTGATGATATGAATGTGTAATGGGCTGTGCTCTTTGGGATGTGAGGTTTCCGGACTTGAGAGGTTTCCGGACTCCTGGGGTTTCACTGTACACAGATGAGCGTACAACGACAAACGTACATGCGGGTAGACATATGTGTGCTGATATGAATGTGTAATGGGCTGTGTTCTTTGGAATGTGAGGTTTCCGGACTCGAGAGGTTTCCGGACTCGTGGGGTTTTACTGTACACAGATGAGCGTACAACGACAAACGTGCAGGCGGGTAGACATATGTGTGCTAATATGAATGTGTAATGGGCTGTGCTCTTTGGGATGAGAGGTTTCCGGACTCGTGAGGTGTCACTGTACACAGTTGACATACGTACATGCTGGTAGACATATGTGTGCTAATATGAATGTGTAATGGGCTGTGCTCTTTGGAATGTGAGGTTTCCGGACTCGAGAGGTTTCCGGAATCGTGGGGTTTCACTGTACACAGATGAGCGTACAACGACATACGCACATGCGGGTAGACATATTTGTGCTAATATGAATGTGTAATGGGCTGTGCTCTTTGGAATGTGAGGTTTCCGGACTCGAGAGGTTTCCGGAATTGTGGGGTTTCACTGTACACAGATGAGCGTACAACGACATACGTACATGCGGGAGACATATGTGTGCTAATATGAATGTGTTACGGCTGTGCTCTATTGAAGGTGAGGTTTCCGGACTCGAGAGGTTTCCGGACTCGCGAGGTGTCACTGTACACAGTTGACATACGTACATGCTGGTAGACATATGTGTGCTAATATGAATGTGTAATGGGCTGTGCTCTTTGGAATGTGAGGTTTCCGGACTCGAGAGGTTTCCGGAATCGTGGGGTTTCACTGAACACAGATGAGCGTACAACGACATACGTACATGCGGGTAGACATATTTGTGCTAATATGAATGTGTAATGGGCTGTGCTCTTTGGGATGTGAGGTTTCAGGACTCGAGAGGTTTCCGGACTCGCGAGGTGTCACTGTACACAGTTGACATACGTACATGCTGGTAGACATATGTGTGCGGTCGCTGCCTTCACCGGGATACAGATCTCATTCGGGGCACATGGTTGACTGGCGCAGGCATGCTTGGTATTCTGAAAACATATTCTACTAATTTAGGCTGTATTTCCGTATTATTAATCAATAATTATTGTCTGTTATGCGCACAAATCGACCCGCATTATCCATCTGCATTACAGCTGGTTGCTTGGTTGGTTTGTTGTTTTACGCCGCACTCAGCAATATTCAAGCTTTATGACGGCGGCCTGTAAATAATCGAGTCTGGACCAGACAATCCAGTGATTGATATCATGTGCATCGAGCCAGGCAATTGTCGAAATATCGTTAGTCGGCTCTTACGACAAGAAAAGTCGCCTCTTACGACAAGCAAAGTCGCCGTTTACGGCAAGCATTGTTGCCGAAGACCTATTCTTCCCCAGGTTTCTACGGGTCCATTCCTTATGAATCTTATATAGGCGTATTGATTGACGTTGCATACTGCATAAAGATATCTTTACAACAATTTCATTCAAATGCAAAACGTGCGTACGTTGTTGGAATAATTTCAGTTTGTGTAAGCATGTGTGTCAAAACTCCTAAACGTCTTTACGTGATAATGAGTTGCATTCAGTGAGCATCATCATTAAAATATGAACCCTGTGATGAACGAAAAGAAAACGAAAATTTCCTTATAACAAAGTAACGTCCCGGTGGATCCAATGATGGTGAACTGCCAACCGCCATGTTTTGTTTGTTAGTTTGTTCTCCCTACTTAAGACACAGGGACGGTTCACCAGACCTTGTATTTGCGGGCAAGACACTTACGATAAAGGGAGACAATTTGAGTGGAGGTAACTCTTGTATGACTATAGTTCCGTCAAAGTGTTATGTTCACTGCAGTGAAATATCAGGTGTTATGTTCACTGCAATGAACATATCACTTTTCTCAACTTCGGAAAACGCAGTCTTTCACAATGTTTGTTTTGTTTGTTTGTTTGTTTGTTTGTTTTTTGTTTCACGCCGCACTCAGCAATATTCCAGGTACATGACGGCGGTCTGTAAATAATCGAGTTTAGACCAAACAATCCAGTGATTGACATCATGTTTGTTTGTTTGTTTGTTTGTTTATTGTTTAACGCCGCACTCAGCATTATTCCAGCTATGTGACGGCGGTCTGTAGATAATCGAGTCTGGATTGACATCATGAGCATCGATCCTTTGACATCATGAGCATCAATTCACGCAATTGGGATCGATGACATGCATCAACCAAGTGAGCCAGCCTGACCACCCGATCCCGTTAGTCGCCTCTCACGACAAGCATAGTCACCTTTTACAGCCAGCATGGGTTGCTGAGACCTATTCTTCCCCGGATCTTCACGGGTAAAAAGTAAAACAGATGGGAGGCCAAATAGTGAATTTGTCAAATAATAGGTAGCAGTGACCCGCAACGGTCTCCTCATCTTAGAAAATAACCTGATTAAAAGCAGATAGTTAATTAGTCAAATAATAGATAGCAGTGACCCACAACATTCTCCTAGTCTAAAAAAATAACCTGATTAGAAGCAGATAGTTGTTTAGTCAAATAATAGATAGCAGTGACCCACAACAGTCTCTTAGTCTAAAAAAATAACCTGATTAGAAGCAGATAGTTGTTTAGTCAAATAATAGATAGCAGTGACCCACAACATTCTCCTATTCTAAAAAAATAACCTGATTAGAAGCAGATAGTTGTTTAGTCAAATAATAGATAGCAGTGACCCACAACATTCTCCTAGTCTAAAAAAATAACCTGATTAGAAGCAGATAGTTGTTTAGTCAAATAATAGATAGCAGTGACCTGCAACAGTATCTTCGTCTCAGAAAATAACCTGATTAAAAGCAGATAGTTGTTTAGTCAAATAATAGATAGCAGTGACCCACAACATTCTCCTAGTCTAAAAAAATAACCTGATTAGAAGCAGATAGTTGTTTAGTCAAATAATAGATAGCAGTGACCCACAACAGTCTCCTAGTCTCAAAAAATAACCTGATTAGAAGCAGATAGTTGTTTAGTCAAATAATAGATAGCAGTGACCCACAACATTCTCCTAGTCTAAAAAAAAAACCTGATTAGAAGCAGATAGTTGTTTAGTCAAATAATAGATAGCAGTGACCCACAACATTCTCCTAGTCTAAAAAAATAACCTGATTAGAAGCAGATAGTTGTTTAGTCAAATAATAGATAGCAGTGACCTGCAACAGTATCTTCGTCTCAGAAAATAACCTGATTAAAAGCAGATAGTTGTTTAGTCAAATAATAGATAGCAGTGACCCACAACATTCTCCTAGTCTAAAAAAATAACCTGATTAGAAGCAGATAGTTGTTTAGTCAAATAATAGATAGCAGTGACCCACAACAGTCTCCTAGTCTCAAAAAATAACCTGATTAGAAGCAGATAGTTGTTTAGTCAAATAATAGATAGCAGTGACCCACAACATTCTCCTAGTCTAAAAAAAAAACCTGATTAGAAGCAGATAGTTGTTTAGTCAAATAATAGATAGCAGTGACCCACAACATTCTCCTAGTCTAAAAAAATAACCTGATTAGAAGCAGATAGTTGTTTAGTCAAATAATAGATAGCAGTGACCCACAACAGTCTCCTAGTCTCAAAAAATAACCTGATTAGAAGCAGATAGTTGTTTAGTCAAATAATAGATAGCAGTGACCCACAACAGTCTCTTAGTCTAAAAAAATAACCTAATTAGAAGCAGATAGTTGTTTAGTCAAATAATTGATAGCAGTGACCCACAACATTCTCCTAGTCTCAAAAAATAACCTGATTAGAAGCAGATAGTTGTTTAGTCAAATAATAGATAGCAGTGACCCACAACATTCTCCTAGTCTAAAAAAATAACCTGATTAGAAGCAGATAGTTGTTTAGTCAAATAATAGATAGCAGTGACCCACAACATTCTCCTAGTCTCAAAAAATAACCTGATTAGAAGCAGATAGTTGTTTAGTCAAATAATAGATAGCAGTGACCCACAACAGTCTCCTAGTCTCAAAAAATAACCTGATTAGAAGCAGATAGTTGTTTAGTCAAATAATAGATAGCAGTGACCCACAACAGTCTCTTAGTCTAAAAAAATAACCTAATTAGAAGCAGATAGTTGTTTAGTCAAATAATTGATAGCAGTGACCCACAACATACTCCTAGTCTCAAAAAATAACCTGATTAGAAGCAGATAGTTGTTTAGTCAAATAATAGATAGCAGTGACCCACAACATTCTCCTAGTCTAAAAAAATAACCTGATTAGAAGCAGATAGTTGTTTAGTCAAATAATAGATAGCAGTGACCCACAACAGTCTCCTAGTCTCAAAAAATAACCTGATTAGAAGCAGATAGTTGTTTAGTCAAATAATAGATAGCAGTGACCCACAACAGTCTCTTAGTCTCAGAAAATAACCTAATTAGAAGCAGATAGTTGTTTAGTCAAATAATAGATAGCAGTGACCCACAACAGTCTCCTAGTCTCAGAAAATAACCTGATTAGAAGCAGATAGTTGTTTAGTCAAATAATAGATAGCAGTGACCCACAACAGTCTCCTAGTCTCAGAAAATAACCTGATTAGAAACAGATAGTTGTTTAGTCAAATAATAGATAGCAGTGACCCACAACAATATCCTCGTCTCAGAAGATAACCTGATTAGAAGCAGATAGTTAATTAGTCAAATAATAGGTAGCAGTGACCTGCAACAGTCTCCTCATCTCAGAAAATAACCTGATTAGAAGCAGATAGTTGTTTAGTCAAATAATAGGTACTGAACATCCCGGGAAAAGGGGCATCTGATAGTCAACTTGCACAGGCTGAACGCATGGTCCAGCGTAGACGTCTTGAGCATGTTCCTGACATGCTCGGTACTATTGTGACAGTTCCAATCCCTCTTGTCGATGGAAGTAAAGGCAACCCTCCTTTGTTTGTTTGTTTGTTGTTTAACGCCGCACTCAGCAATATTCGCCTTTCACGGCAAGAATGGGTTGCTAAAGACCTATTCTACCCCTGAGCTTCACGGGTTATATTTTTTGCCTTAGTGAATAAGTCAATATACATATTGTTTGATTGTTGACATTGACTGTAACATATATATTACACACCTAACGTAGTACGGAGGAAAATCATGTGGTCAGTAAAAAGTGTTAAACTATATTTCAATAAAAAACAGAGCTTCTATTTGCAAAATAGAAATGTGTATCAACAAAATAAGCTAGAATAATAGAAGCTCTGTCAAAAAAGGAATATTATACTATCAAATAAAAGGAAAGTTTTAGGAATCTGTTTATGCTGATCCTGAAGAGCTAACAAACCACTTAATAAACCAGGAACTGCAAATGAAATTTCCACTTGTACGGTTCAATGCAAACAAAAGTCAAGAAGAAAATATTATTGTTCACACAGGCACACACACACATATATATTTATAGCAATTTATATAATAACAAGCATGAAATACTCACATCCCCCGCTAATATGACATGGGTTGTGTGCAATGCATTACCTCCTGTGAACTATACTGAACCAAATAAAAAACTTCACAATCCTAAAATTTTAACATTTAGACCAGTTATCATTGTTGGCCTTTATTGTATATTTTAACAGTAATGGCCACGTATTGTCTTCAGATAACTACCGTTTTTGTGCAGGTGAATCGATCAAAATCATGTGCACAGCACTATAGTGGCAAAAGTGGTTTTCACGTGCAACTGGTCACGTGGCCATAATACTGCACGTGTTTTCAGCCATACTTGTTAGCAGTCATTAACAAAAAAGAAAAACACAAGAAAACAAAAGTCTTTACGGCCATTTGTCATGCCACGCCTTTCAAATGTGCAACGTGAACGTGCCATCGGCATGTTTCAGACGGGAACGTCCGTAGCTGAAGTCGCAAGGACGATGGGTTGTAGTCGACGGACTGTTTATGATTTACAGACGCGTCTACAGCAAACGGGTACCACCGCTGATCGCCCTCGACCAGGTCGGCCACGTGTGACGTCACATGCAGAGGATCGTCAGATTGTCTTACGTCACCTCCGTAACCGATTTTTGACGGC